GCAGCGCTCATCCCCGTGCTGGGTGCGGGGCCCCGGGTCTGTGCCCCCCCGGCCGGCCCGCTCGGCGGCACGCCGCCCACCGCCGCCCGGGGACGGCCCCGTCCCTGTCGCTCTGCTCAGCACGGGCAGCCGGTGGCTCGCAGACTTACCTGCTCGACCGAGCTCGTCGCTCAGACCCGTTGAGGCAGCCGGTAGCCGGTAATCGCGTCCTGCTGCTCTCAGACACCTGTTTGCACCAGCTGCTGTTTAGTATTTCCCTTGGGACCCGGAGGAAAAGAGCTCACCCCCGATCCTCCCCGTTCAGTACGGATTCATTTCCTTTCCAGCCTTCAGACCTAGGATGTATTTACTGAACGCCTCTGCCTTTTCTGTGCTGACGCCAGAAAGCGCCTGACAGACGCTTTCTTAGCGTCCCCTTTCTCACCACGAGCCCTCGGCAGTGCACAGAGAACACCCTGGGGTTTGGGTTGGGGTTTTTTAATGCTGATGGCCACAGTTTTCTCCTTGTCCCTTTATTTCTTTTATTACCCTTCTACAACTTCGTGCCACCAATTAATAAGAATTATGATCAAATACTCTTTTTGCCCTTTTTCTTTTTTCTTTTTTTTTTTAAAGGAATCCAGAATAACCTCTTTCTGAATTGTTCTTTACTGAACTTCTAATGAATAGAAAAACTGTGGCAACTGGGAACTTCTAGTTTCTAAACTCAACTTTACCTTTGACCTTGGGCAGCCAGTTATTTTGAGCCAGTTGTGCTACAGCAGGGATATGGGTTGTTTTCATTTTCTTGGACTGAATCCTGGGAATAGGAGCCATCACCCACCTAACACGATCTCTACAGCTCCTATTTTTATTCTGTCTTCAGAGGTCACTTTCTTATATCAAGAAGAGACATAGTAGAAACTTTTTTTGTGTGAATATAAATGCAAATTATTGACACACATTCCTGATTCTTCTTTTCCAGCTCAAGTCTATGAAGTAAAATTGTGAGTATAACCCTTTCTCTAGCATATTGATGGGTCTTTGGGGCCTGTACGAGAGCAGGGGGAAAAAAAACACCAAACCCATGGTGCTACTTACCTGTCAGGATGAAAAGCCTCGTAAGCAGCATGGATGAAGAGGTTCAAAGGTAGCTTAGTAGTACATTGGTACTGATGATCTGTGGGCTTTCCACATCAACACATAGTGCAGGAAGAAAGAGCTTTTCCTTTGCAGTATTAGAATCATAAAAATGAGCAAGAATTGTTTATTAACTCCTCAGACCAATGAGGCCTATTGAAGATCGTTGCCAAGGATAAATTCCCAGTGTTTTTTCAAATGCAAAGAACAGGAATTCCCCTTCTACAGAGCTAAGGCTCCCAATGCAGAGATTATACTCTGATTTATCCCTGAAATATCCTTGGCTGAACTTGTCTCTCTTAATCATAGCTGTGACAGGAACGTACAGCTATTTCTAAACTCAAGTTTCAGCATCCTGATCTACTTGTAACCTATGGAAGCTATACTGAAAAGCCTCATAATCCAGTCAAAACATAAAAGGAGAACCACTTATCTAGATAAAAATTGAAGTGCTGATGATTTGAGTGCCATGGTAGAACATGCCAGCAGCATTTGCCCAGGTGCTGTGTTTCCCAAGCAGTTTATAAAGCAACATTTTAAGTAACAGTTGAACCCTGAGCAACTGAACAAGTAGTGTGATGGCATTTCTCCTCAGAGGATTTACCTTCATTTTAAAGATACAAGATACAAAAAGCTACATGGTGGATGTAGTCTGCATGCAGTTCACCATTTACCATTCCTCCACCACTTTATATATATATATATATATATATATATATAATCTTGCAAAGAGCAGTTGTCTGGCTGTGCCATTCCAAGTAATGGTGGTAATCCTTGTGTTGCTTACATACCTTTTGCTGCCTCTGAAACTCTCCCTGGTTTGGAGGCAATGCTGCTATAATGTCCAAGGTTCTCCTGCCACCTAGAAGTAAAGGACAAGATTCTCTCTTATCATAATCCAGTGGCCCAGGTTTACATGGGTTTGAATCAGACAACAATCTTGCTCAAAATCTTGATGGTTGGGAGATGCTTTGTCTGCTCTGGTTGCAACTATTCTTTCATATTGTATTTTGATTTCAGCCATAACTCAAGAACCGCAGCTTCTTCAAGATGTGAAAGTACGGATCATTATGAGGCACCCATCTCCTCCACTGAAAACAACTATGTGATGGAGCCCATGGAAAACAAAAGATATGAAGAAATAAATACAAAAAAGAATGAATATGTTGGAAACACCGAAGAATCTCTATATGAAGTAGGGGACACTGTATGAGAACCAACAGTGCTCTACAGGTAGCAGTCCTGAAGAGTATCTTCATCCAGGCAAAATTTATCTTCCTATTCACCTTTGCCTCTGAAAAATAGGTTGGACAAGAAGTTTTTGCTCCTTCAAAATCTGTGGAGCCTTAACAATCTCTGCTGTGAAAATGCAAACCTCTTTAGGAACTTCAGTTACAGACTGCTGTGTAGATCTTCTGATTTTGCTTTTTTTGCTTCCCTTTCACCACCTGTGTAGAAGAAAGCCCTTTGAAAGCTAGGGTATGCAGATCCCAGGCCAAAAGCACTGTACTAAACTTACTGCTTTACATGACCAAAAGGATCTGCATTCACAGCCTTCATGGGGTGGGAGTAGAACCAGCACCAAGGGCTGCTCAACCTCCCCATCATCTTTGGGTAAGAAGTGCAGAATGAGGCTGGCCTGGGAATCTGCATTTCTCCTCCCACCCACCTCAAGTGCTGCACAGGTGGTAGAATGTCCTTTTAATGTGAGAAAGCCCTTAAAGAAACACTGAAAGATTAAAGCTAGGATAAAACCAGGAACCTTACCATACTAGGAGCAGCAGTACAAAAAGAAGAAATGTCCCGTGCACCCATTGTGCTGTACTCAATGTGCCTTTCTGCAGCACTCGCCATAAGGTCCAGGCATGCTTTCTATAGTTTTGGTGCAGAACAGCTTGGGCGATTCTGATACTGCAACAAGGCACACTTTTTCCAAGTTCACCTTCTCTATTCTCTCATTTAATGCATGTTTAATATTTGAAAGATATTAGATACTTTTCCATAAGTTTGTGGATAGGATGTTTTAACATGCCTACATTATTTTGGTATGAATGTTTTTGCACGACCGGCTCATCTTTAAAATGCCAGCAAGCATTCACAATTACAGCTCCTCAGTAGATATTCATGAATTACTTTCCTCCCACCTTAGAAAGCCTGAAGGGTAAGTACAGAGCCAAAAAGCTGTGTTATTAGTAATTTCTACTGCCCTGAGTAAACCTGTAACATGGATACTGCAGAGTTATGGAAGAACCTTTTTATAGTGAACGACAGGGCAATACCATGTCCAATTAAAAGCCATGCAGACAGATGTAAAACAAAACAGGTGATCTGAGGGGTGAGGAGGCTATCAGTGACACAGGCACAGGATTAGTGGGCCCCCAGATTTGCTGTTCACACTCAGGAAAGATCTGCATCTGCACTTCTCTGCAAGCATCAGCTCAAAATTCACCAGCATTCAAGAAGAGTATTAGGTGCTATTAGGAAAGGCATTCCAGTGCAATAGAAAACAGGACTGTGGTACTGTAAAAACTCATGGAATGCTTCTACCTTATCTATGCATGTACCACAAGTTTTATTTCTCTTTGTTAAGAACGTACTTAAAAATTAAGGTCTGGGAAACCTTGATTTCAAAATGGAAGGGAAACAAACATCTGTTTTGGTTGGTGATGATCTCTTGGAAAAAATTGTCAACGTGTACATGCAGTTTATTGCAATGTGGAGAAGCAGATGAAAATCATTAAACTTCAGGACTGCAAAGTTAGTAGATTTTGTTATACTTCTCTTTATTTTGCCTGTGAAAGTGGGCGTGTGTGAATGTCTGTGTGTGCCCAGGAATTACACTCCTAGGAACATATTAGATCTCTCTACTTGACAGCAGAGGAATTAGTTTAGGATGTAAAAGAAAATGAGTTCTCTTATGAAGTGTGTAAAAAGCCAGTGAAGTCTGACAGTCTTTCTTCCTAAGCAGGAAGGTGAGTAGGGGAGGAGAACTGTTGCTATAGTATTGCAAGGTGCACACAATTATCACTAAAAGGGTTTTCCAGGGAACAACAGAAAAATCATGACTGGTGTGCTGGGTTTGTGTGGCGGGATTTTGGTAGTGGGAGGGACTGCAGGGGTGGCTCCAGGGAGAAGCTGCTAGAAGCTTCCCTGGCTCCAAGTTGGACCTGCCTCTGGCCAAGGCCGAGCCCATCACTGATGGTAGTAGCACTTCTAGGTGAACAGATTTAAGAAGGGGAAACCTGCAGCGGAGAGGGGAGTGGAAAGTGAGAGAAACCCCTGTGCAGATGCCAAGGTCAGTGAAGAAGGAGGGGGAGGAGGTGCACCGGAGGAGGGGACACCCCTGCAGTCCATGGTGAGACGGAAGCCCATGTAGGTGAATGGCGGAGGAGATGCCCAGCTGCCACGAGTGGAGAAGCCCATGCCAGAGGAGGTGGATGCCCCAAAGATGGCCATGACTCCATGGAAAACCCTGCGCTGGAGCAGCCTGTGCCTGAAGGACTGCAGCCTGTGGGAAGAACCCATGGCGGAGAAGTTTGTGGAGAGCTGTCTCGTGTGGGAGGGACCCCACACTGGAGCAGGGGAAGAGTGAGGATTCCTCCCCCTGAGGAGGAAGGAGCAGCAGAGATGTCGCAAACTGACCACAACTCCCATTCCTCGTGCCACTGTGGGGGAGGAGGTAGAGAAAAGCAGGAGTGGAGGTGAGCTGGGAAGGAGAGAGGGGTGGGGGAAGGTGTTTGGTTTTACTTCTAATTATGTTTTATTTGATTGGTAGTAAATTAAATTGATTTTGTTTTTTCCCCAAGTTGAGTCTTGTTTTTTGCCTGTGATCATAATCAGCGAGTGATCCCTCCCTGTCCTTGCATCATCCCACAAGCTTTTCTTTCTATTTTCTGCGCCCCATCCCACTGGGGTGGGGAAGAGTGAGCAAGTGGCCTCTGGTGCTTTGTTGCTGGCTGGGCTGAAACCACGACAACTGGATAGTGTGTTAATGTGATGACAAAGCAACAATGTTGAAATTTTCAGGGAAACTGTCATGTTTTCTTAATCTTTCAATTCTAGATGAGGCTGCAGTTTTTGGAGCCCTGCAGTAATGTTCTCATTCTTTAAAAAGGGGGTTTAAAAAAAGCGTGTGTGCGTGTGTTTGGTAGGGAGGGGGTGGGAAGGGAATGTCACTGTTACCGGAAAGCAGCCCACTTGTCTGAGCTCCACCCCAGAAACAAACCTACTGCAATGGGAATAAGGGGCTTCAGTGCTATATGGAGCAACTGGGAAGCAGACATACTCCAAAGAAGTCAAGCGACAGGGTGAACATCTGAGCAAGGAGGTAGATATGACGTGTTGTCGTGGTTTAACCCCAGCCAGCAACTAAGCACCACGCAGCCGCTCACTCACTCCCCCCCATCCAGTGGGATGGGGGAGAAAATCAGGAAAAAGAAGTAAAACTCGTGGGTTGAGATAAGAACGGTTTAATAGAACAGGAAAGAAGAAACTAATAATGATAATGATAACACTAATAAAATGGCAACAGTAGTAATAAAAGGATTGGAATGTACAAATGATGCGCAGGGCAATTGCTCACCACCTGCCAACCAACACCCAGCCAGTCCCCGAGCAGTAATTCCCTGTCCCCACTTCCCAGTTCCTATACTAGATGGGACGTCCCATGGTATGGAATACCCTGTTGGCCAGTTTGGGTCAGGTGCCCTGGCTGGGCATGAGAAGCTGAAAAATCCTTGAGTGTAGTCTAAACACTACTGAGCAACAACTGAAAACATCGGTGTTATCAACATTCTTCACATACTGAACTCAAAACATAGCACTGTACCAGCTACTAGGAAGATAGTTAACTCTATCCCAGCTGAAACCAGGACACATGTGCTGCTTGGAGAATGAGGAGAAAAGAGCTTGTCCTTTCTGTAAGTGGTGTGATGGGTACAGCCATCCAGACCAGCAGCCTTGGCTCTTCAAAGGGGAGAGAGCGGAGCTCTGTATGAACAAAAGAACAGCAATGCAGCCAGCACCATGAGCTCTTCCCTCCCTGCCTGTATTTCCACCACTGCTGGTCTTGACCTAGCTGGGAAAGACCCTCTGTGTTGTGCTAGGCTGAGGCAGTTATTTTAAGCAATGTCACCCCTGCTATCAGTTCTCTCTGGAGTTAGCTTGCTTTCCCTTCTCCTTTCATCCTTGTTTTCAGAGAGAAATTGTGGATTTTGCACTTGATGATGAAACGCCCCTAAAGGTTCTGGGGAAGTCAAAGTGTCATTAGTCGGACGAAGACACCCACCACATCAGTAAAAGCACTGGGTTTGCAAGGTGTGTTTTCTCAGGTGGGAGTGTGGTAACGCTTGATACACTCAGATTACCTCAGCATGACTGCCTCGGCTCCCCAAACAGGGACTTGGCTCTGACTGCCCAAGATGACTTGCAGTGTTGTTCCTCTGAGGTGGTGTGATGTGGCCAGAGCTCCAGTCCCAGAAGAAGAGAGCACTAAGGCAAGATAGAGGTATGGAGACAAAGGGCTTTCCAAGGAAGAGCAGGCTGGTCACAATGTGGTCCGAGCACATCAGGCACTCTCACTGTTGACACTCTGTGGATGACTGCTATCGGGTATCCCACAGCTGTGCCACAAAATCAAAAAACAATTCAATTTCAGTTGCATTGCAAAGCCACAGGCAATGTAGCTGTACAAACACGGATAAATAGCAGTTTTATACTGGCTAGACAACCATGACCAGGAGCTGGTGATGTTAAATAAAATGGTTTTAAGGCAAGCAGGAAAAGGCAAGCTCATGAAACTGAAAAGAAATCCATGAACTAGGTTCTCTGTGCATTTTGTGTCTGCATGCGCTGTTGGACAGCTGGACAATGCAAGACAGGCATTGGATCCTAATTCAGTGTGGGATATCTCCAGGAAAAAGCACAGTTGCTGTGCATCTTTTGCAACACATCAGTGGTGTACAGCTGCATGCCAGGAAGACAAGCTGAGGTTAAGACAAATTTTCCTAGACCAGCACTTGTGTTTACCAAAACCAGAGCTCAACCAGCCTTCGTGGAGCCACTAAAAGGGAAACTGGGAAGCTTGCAAACAGCAAGTATTATGATAGCAGTGAGGCTATCAAAAGCATCAGTAGGTAGTGCGTGTGATAACTGCAGGTAAAGGTAAAATCTGTATTGCTCTAATAGCTGAATTTGTGAAGCCCACCTGTGGCACCAAGTAGGAAATGAATATTCAGATGACATCATATACATGGGTCTCTTTCTTAGTGCTAGGAAGTACTTACAAGGATTTGGCTGAGATAATGGGTAACCCAGAACTGATGTGATTGATGTGGGATTTCCTGGGAAGGGAAGCTGGTTTTCAGAAAGAGCACTTGTATATCACATTTCTGCCACACAGGCCTTGAAGGAGATGCTCATTTACACTAAGTTTCTGTTTCTTAAGGTGGAACAAAGGTCAAGTTTTCATGACTGTCTGTACGATTGTCTGATACATGTGAGAGAATTGTGATGTACATGACTGTAGGGGCTCATACAATTAGCTTCTGTGTGACATCCAAAAAATACTTAGTACACAACAATCTGTTTAGTCAGATCTGTGAGTTGGCTATGGCTGGACCAGATACGAATGTCTCAAGTCTTGCAGTAAAAATCACCTTTTTTTTCTGAGTGCAGATGGTTCAAAAAGAGCACTTTGAGACCTTCTTCAGTTACCTACATTTTTGGTGGTTTGCTCAAAGCTTGGTACTGAATTTGACCCCCTTGCAGGCTAAAAATCTTCTTTCATCACCAGGAAAACTGTAGCAAACTTCTCTAGCCTCTGGCAGACTATGTCAAAACATGAAGCTCTGCAGAGCTTGTCCCTATGAGCAGGGTCTGAGGTCTCATCTGCACTCATTTGGGGGGAAACAGGGACTTTACTGTGCCATCTCTAATTAGCCTGAGATGTAGTAGCAGAACTTGCAGAACAAAGAGTCATACTGGTCACTGCCTGAGCTGCGATACTTGAAGAAATGATGCTTGACAGCATGTCATGTCCAGTATGTGGAAGGAAGGTGGGTGCCTGCAGGCGAAAAGCTGCAGGGTGCCTTACCCACCTGGCACTGCAAGGGAGAAAGCCATGGATTCAATCCAAAGCAGAGAAACTGAAATAAATGTATTTCATTATAATAAACCAGGTAACTAGCCATAATATCTGAGACATTAAAGGCTTTTTCTTCATGTGTTCAGATGCAAAACTCTGAGGAGTCCCTCTGGTAAGAAAGAAATGGGCTGACTATATGACTCGGGGAGAAGAAAACTAGCAGCTACATCTCTGTCCCAGGGAGAGAAAGATGTCATGTACATCACGTTTGAGGAACTACAGTTCTTTGTGTTTGTTTTAGCTAAATCGTCATTTTTTATCATGTATAATTACAGCTTCAGGAAGTCTTGCATGTCTGGTTCAGAAAGTAGTCATATCAGCAGTTTTAGCTTGGGTTTTCAGCTTGTCCCAGGGCACGTTCCCCAAAATCCAGCTCTTTTAAAGTCTTTTGTATAGAAGATGGTAGATTGTTGGGATAAGCTTCTATTGCCAGTCATGGACCAGGGTGTACAAAAGGTTGGGTTTAAATCATCTCTTTGAAAATGGAGTCATATTCACTCTTTCAGTGAGATTGCTTGAATTTTAACAAGTTCTTTTTTGTTTGGTTGCTTGCTTGCTTGCTTTTGGGCAGGATTCAAACACAGCTAATGGTTTCTTGGTGGCATAGTGGGCAGATGGGGTACAGGCAGCATGAACTAGTACCACACTGGTAGCTTCAGCAAAGTCAGGAAGAAAAGGCACTAAAAATCAAGTTTCCGCTGCACCAGCAAGGATATGCTCTGCAAGAAAGGGGGTTGCTGCTGCCTGCATTGTCTTCTGGGCAGGATGACAGCTGGTGGTAGCTCTTAGCCTGGAACTCGTATGAATTTGTTGCACCAGGTCTTGCCACACCACGTTCAGCTTTTTGCTCCAGGCTGACCATGCTTGCCACAGGCGAGTATTACTGCAGCAATAAGCAGAGCTCATTGAAACCGCATTCAGCAAGCAATCCAAGTGTGGACGTGCCTCCACCCAAAGACTGAAACGAGACCTGCACAGTTCCCATGAGTTTACTGACTTTGTTTTCATTGTCCTGTGCAGACAGGGAACAAGCCATCATTGACGAATGGCACCACGTCCAGAGAACAGTCTGAGCTCAGCTGCAATATAAACACGTCAGCTAAAGCAAACAGGTATCTGTCGTGACAGGACATAGCTGTGGCAAAAGTACACCAATTACCTTTCCCTCCCAGCTCCAAAAGAAAATGGGTCCCTGTATTTCAGACACATCTGCCTCCTGCTCAAAGATACTATTCTCCTGGTGCAGTTGTTAAAACTGTATGCTAAGGCATGTCTATGGAATAAATGCCAAAAAGTTGCTTTAGTGACTGATTAAAAGCCTATAACAGAATTCACTAGGTCAGTAGATTTGCTTTTATGCATGTTTCTTATCTTCTGTAATTCCTCCTCCTTTTGGTAATAATGAGCAGGCACATACTAATCCTGTGCATAACACCTATTGATAACTGAATGTACTTTTAAAGGTACCCCTACAGAGCATACCCAGAATGTCTCCTGGATTAAAGTCCCTCTGCCATCAGCCATAAGTAAGTCACCTCCTTAGAAAACACTGCATGTGCTTGCGTGGTATGAAACATGATGACTTTTGCCCATGAGCTTGGACTATTGCAGCAGAAATGTGTACCAAGATAGTCTGTGATGCTGTGAAAATGAGAGTACCAGGCAGTGACCATCTGATCACCGGTAGATGGTAAAAGCTTGTGTAACATTAAATGTGGCTGACTCTAGCTTGGTAACCTTTTGTTTCCTCATGCATCTTCTCCATGGCCCTCGTTGGTATAACTACATCTGTAGCTGCACCGCAATAGGGCACAGATTCTGGGCAGGTGGTAGAAAATGGAGCTTCTGCAGGGAAATTCCTATCATAGTAAAGAGCAGGATGTTGGGTTTTTTAATACTTATTCTCTACACATTTTCTGTTAAAACAGAAGAAAGCAGTAGAAGTGGCATCCTGAGTTTTCTGGTCTAAAAGGCTCAGAGTCTTTGGCAAAGGAACTAGGGCTGGTTTTCTTCCTCACTCAGGTCACAGACTGATCTACTCAGAAGGTGAACAGGGTTGCTCTCAGACAGTGTGTTGCTGTAGAAGTTGGTACATGCGCATGGTGGAAGAGCTGAGTACCATCAGCAGAAGAAGACACTAAGGAAATGGAATTGAGCATCAACAAGTTGGTCTCTGCCTCATGCTCCTGCCTGGTGTTAGGTGAGTCAGTGCACTCAGACCTGTGCTTTTCCTTTTCTGGATGCCCCATTTTGAGCCCTCATGTATGATGGAGAGAGATGCTGAGCACTCTGCTGAGCAATATCATCACATACACAAGTCAGAGGGAACTGAATTCATGCTTCACAAGCTCCTCAAGTTTGCTTTCCCTTGCTACCGAGTGCTTGACTGTGTAGTAATCATAAAGCTCTTTCACTGTGAAGTGAATGCAAATGTGGAAGAAAGGAAAAAAAAGAAAGAAAAAAGAGAAACACACAATTATGAAGAATAATAAAGAAGAGCACTAGTCAGAAAAGTCAAGACAATGGTAAGAGAAATGGGTGGGCACAGGGGAATATGAAATGGAACTGGGAAGATCCATATAGTCTTTGTCCATCCTTTACTCTCCACCTAAGTCAGCAGTGAAATGGACTCGTGATACTTCAGAAAGAGGATCCTAGATGACAAAGGACAGAAGAAAGGGAAGTGTCCTTCACTTGCATTCTGGTCCCAGGAGCGCGGGGGGCTCTCACAAAGTGCAGGGAAAGGAGGACGGACCTGCAGTTCTGGGAGAATGGGAGAAGTTGTGCGGATAGTGGTGTTTATGATGCCTTTCATCAGCTGCAACGGTGAGTAAACACTTCAATGTTTAAGAACAAAAATCAGAGTACTAAGAGGGTAGGGAAAATCTTTTGAATTATAGTGTCTTAATTTTTAAAAATTGTCAAGCGTGGAAAGTCTTTAGTTTCTTCTATGAAAAAAAGAGCCTGAGAATTCACAAGAGTCTCTTTTGGTAGCAGAAACAACAAGGTGCTTTTAAGACTGGTGCAAACGGGCCAGTATTGGGCAAAAGGTCAGCTCCTATGCCCAAAAGCAAGAACAAAACAGGATTGTTCAGGCCCCTTGGAGAGGACCTGCTCTGGTGAGTTAGCTTCCAAAACAGCCTTTGTGAAGCTGGAATATGCATTCTTCTAGAGTTTAATAGTGCATCACTGTTGTCTGCTAGCGTGGTCCTGGGAAGAAGAGGAGCTGTAATTGTGAGACTAAGTGCAGGCACACACATGATTCCACTTGGTCTCTCCTGATCTGCTGACTCTCTAGGTGCATTAGGAGAGGTGACACTGGAATCTTTGCTTTGATTCATATGCCCATGAGGCATATGGCCCCTCCCAGGGCACATACAACACTGGCACTGGCAGAGGAAAGTTTGGGGAGACAGGAAAAAGGTGCTTTAACAAGTTGCATACAGAAGCACAGAATTGCTCCTGACATTTAGAAAAATGGGTTGAACTATGTCCCCCATTTCATCATAAAAAAACAGCTTTGCAGATTTATGGGATCTGTCTCTCAAGCGACTTCTTGTGAGTTAATGCAGCTGAACATAACCAGTGCCTTTCTGGGGAGGAAGGGAAAGGGGGAGTGGGGTAAGAGGGTATGGGTACAGCCAAATCCAGCTAAATTCAGGTAATTTGCTACTTACAAGAGGCACTTCCCAGAGGAGCTGTGGTCTCAGTGGGCAGATTGTGAGAATGAGCCGGGTACCACAAAGTCCACCCCCTCTTCTCCTGTGCCCACTTGAGTGCTTGGCAAGGTGCTTATCTGGTTGAAGCAGGTATGATCCAAGAAATCTAGGTCAGATCTGAAGTCCTCTAAGGCTAAAGCAAAAAGATTGCATTTGGTCCGCTGTTGCTGTTCCAGGTCCAGTACTTCAGAGCAGATCTCTAAAGGCTCCTGCCTGCATGGTGCTTCCATGCCACCAGGACAGCTGGTGCTGGCAGGCTAGGAAGGAAGATGCTCAGCTGTTTTAGCAAATGGGCCAGAATATGATAGTCCAACTTTTTTTCCATTAGCATGCATTATAGATAATACAAATCCCTCTGATCAGTCTTCTCATCTCTAACATAGCCCTTCAGGTTTTTGCCTGGTCCAGCTCTATTTCTCTCTGTTGGGAGAATTCACATTGTTTTTCTGGAAGACTACATCCCAGTTTAAGAAGTGTCACTGGGAGGAAATATTTCTTTAAAAAATGCTGAGTTTCTCCTATTCCTTCCAAGCAGCCCTCCTTTGAAGGCATCCCTGCTAATGTTGAAATTGGTCATATACAGAGTGCAGCTGCTCCGCAGGCAACCAGTGGAAACTGGCAGCTATTTCATGGCACACAGCAATGCAAAACAATACAGGAGAGATGTTTAAACAAAATTGTGTCCAGATGAATACAATGGATAGCAAACATACTTGAACTTGAGCGCACCAAATGCCTTAGGTGTATTTCTGAGCAGTTTTCTAAATAGCTTTCGCCCCTCTTAGTTTTTCTTGGTGGGAGTCTGTGAAAAGAGGAATAAATGGAAAACCTTTAAAAGCTTATACATCAAGGAGCTGTGTTTGAGTGGGATGTGAGATTTGAAGAATGGAGCTGTGTCTGCCCTCTCAAAGTCATCTGATAAAGGAAAACCAAAGCTCCATTTCAGAAACAAGCTTCCACTATGCTCAGTCCCAGCAGTCCCCTTGGCTGTCCTCATGGACACAGATCCACAGATACTTGCCTTCCCCCAGCTGGCACCTCCTGTTACCTCTGACACAGGCTGTTGCAAAGAGAAGTGCTTCTGCTCACACAGCTACTGCTGGGTCCTGTGAGCACCAGGGAAGTTGCATAAAAAAGTAGTGATGTTAATGAATGCAAGCATGTTGCATTCATTGTTAATTGCAGTGAAGCAGTAAACTCGCTTTGTTCATCCTTCCTCCCATGTAGAATGTAGAAGTCAACACTGCAAGTCATGTTGTCAGAGCATCCCATGTCAGTGGGGGGAGGCCGTTGCTGTTTGACTCATCATGTGCAAGTGTAAGCAGAAAGCCAAGCAGCAGTAGGATGTAAAGGCTGGGGCTAGAGAGCAGGAATAAGAGATGCTCCTTAAGGTCTTGTGAAGACTGTAGCTGTGATGCTGCCACCAGGAGCAGGATTTGTGCCTCTTTGTACTGAGAAGGAATTGAGAACAGGCAAGTGTCCAGAGAGAAACAATAAAAATAGCCATGAGGTTGAAGCAACTGTTCACTTCCCTATGCTCAGTGAGGTGGGGACAGGCCCTGGTTTAGCTGGCTGTGGTCTACAGCACATCTAAGATGTGGCCGCATGCTGGCTTCCGTCTCCTAATGATTCCCATCTATGCTAAGGATGTTCTCCTTGTCTGCTGTGTTCTTATTTCTTCCTTTCATCTGTTGTTCCCTGCAGCCCTCCTGGATCTGTCTGGTGTCCAAGAGATCAAGGGCACATGGATGAGATCCACCAGTTTACCGTGTACCTACATGCCCTCAGAGGGTTTCACACAGCAAACGCTCATCTGGAGCATGGAGCGAGACTATGGCACCTCTACCATCTTTCGGAGGGACGATTCTGGTGACCATGTCTTGTTGTCTCAGTTCCGAGACCGGGTCAGCGTCCCAAAGCACAGCCCAGGGGACGCCTCACTCCTAATCGAGAACCTTGAAATCCCCGACAGTGGACACTATACCTGTCAAGTCATCTGGAGGTCCAAAAATAACAGCTTGATAACAAAGGAGGTGACCACTACAGTTAAAGTTGTCAAAGGTAAATCCAGCAATAAAGCCCTGCTCTTGTGTAGCCAGTCTAATCCACAGAGCATGCCGGAGAAGCAGCAGCTTGTGGGAATACTATTTCACACCATACTGCCTACCCACATCCAGGCTGGGTGTTGAGGCATCCTCGTCCCTTGCTGTGTTAGCCCTTCTTCTCCACTCATGGAGGTGTAGGGATGGACTGGGGAAGGGTGATCAGTTAGTGCGCACCCTAATCTGGATCTGCTCATGGGCCACTTGAACCTGTGGTGCTTGAGATAACATCTACATCTGGTTTTGGTTTTGTGCAGGTAGCCAGCATCTCTGGTTCTTGTAGCAAGTGGGACAGCAAGTGGGTGTTATACTAGCCAAATTTGCCTTCTCCCCTTCCCAATCGTCCTCAGTGTGTGCTAGAAAGAACTGTCTTTCTGTAAGGGGGGCACCCACTCAACAGAGCAGGACTTGCATGATCGGCAGCAGCAACAGTGGCATAGCTGGTGTAAACCTGGCTTTAGGCATGGGTGAACTGAGCTTAACCTGTGCAGAGAGGTGACGTGAGAGCGGTGCCCCTCTTCCTCCTGGGAAAGCACTGAAAGCCAGAGCAAGAACTGCCATGGCAGGGGGGGAGGAACCTTCCCCACTGCAACCAGGGCCAGCGTGACCTGGGCCCCATCTGCTTTGTCTTCCAGTTGCAGCGACCAAGCCCATCATCAGGGCCAGCGAGCCGGGGCTGACTTTCCCGGCAGGAGCCAGGGCCAGCCTGACCTGTGTGGCCAACGGGTCTCTCCCCATCAGCTACCGCTGGTTCAGGAGCGTCCCAGGAGGGAAAGCCCTGCTCCTGAGCAGCCAGGCTGAGCTGGCGTGGGACAGCCTGCAGCCCTCCGACACCGGGAAGTACTACTGTGAGGCCGAAAACAGGGTTGGGGCCAGGGCTGCGCAGCAGAGTGATGCCGTTCAGCTGATGGTGAGAGGTGAGTCCGCAGCCTAGAGCTCCTCATCTCTGTTGCACAGGAGTGAGGCAGGCAGTTTCCTCTTTCATAGCAGGATCAGACACATAACACCAAATATGAACTGCGTTTTGATTCCTACCTAGAGAGGAAACGACAGGGGCTGGCATCCTCTCTACTTCAGAAGGGGTCAGGAAAATGTCCCCTGCATCCCTCTGGGCCCAGGACTGTGCATGATAGGAGGCTGGCTCCTGCCCTTGGCACTTCTTGCTCTTACCTGGCTTGTACTGCAGACAGGGAGTGGGGGAAACGGCCTCATGACCAGTCTTTCCCACAGAGTCCCCAGTCACACAGCAGCCCAGCCCGGGGACCAGCAGGCACACCAGACCCCCATTCACCTCCCAAGGCGGTGCGCCCCAGCGAGTGCTCACGGGTAAGTGACCTGGGCTGCAGGGGAAGGGCTGCAAAACCCTGGCACTCTGTGAGTGACACAGAAGGCGAGCAAGACAAATCCACTTGACATTCCTTTTGGGCTGCAGATCCTCTTTGCAGGTGGGATAGAAAGAGTCCACCCCGTCCCCGGGCTGCAGGTGCTCAGCTGTGGGTACCTGGTCAGAGCCCCCCCCCAGGGACGGCAGCAGAGCCAGTGCTAGAGGTGCCACAGCCTGGGAAACCTGGGGGTTGCACAGCTTCAGGGGGAGGTCACCTGGGGCAAGAAGCCTAGCTTGGGGCTCCATGTGTCAGGGAACCTTAAGGTGCAGCTGCCGATGGCAACCCCCCCCCAGACCAGCCAGGGAGTCACCGTAGGAGAGATGAAGCGAGAAAATCCTGTGGAAACCCAGATGAGTCCCAGCAAGACAAAGCCAAAGCATTCCCTGGCCGTGGTGTAGCCAGCCACAAGTGCTGGTGCACAGAGACGTGACTTGTCGGCCAGGGCTGCCGGGGAGCCCCAGGGGCAACGGCCAGGGAGGGGGGGACGGGGGTGCCACAGGCTGCCTGCAGAAGGCGCACAGGATGACACGTCGGGGGTAAAAATCTGGCCCGTCACCCCGAGAGGAGGTCCAGTGGGTGTTTTCTTCCCATCCACCTCAGACCCAAGAGAATCAAAGCGGCATGCTCGTGAAGCCTGAGCCTGGCTTTTCACGGCATCACTCGTCAAACCAGGGCAGGCAGCTTCAGGGCAGCGGTCGCCTCCGGCCCAGGATTGCTGTGCCGGTGACCCCCAGCGCTGGGCAGCCGGGAGACCGCTGCCTGCCCCGCTGCTGTTTGGCGGAGCAAACCCGGCTCTGCCGAGGCCGCAGGGCAGCCCCGGGGAGCGTTACGACGCATTCACCCTCACGCTTTGGCAGATGCGCCCGCCGCGAAGCAGGCCGCCGGGAGGGATGCCGTTTCGGAGGGGCCGCCCGTTGCCACAGGTGAGGGGACCCGTGCTGCCGAGGGCCAGGCTGGCGAACGCCTCCCGCAGACCGAAGGGCCGAACCCGGCCGCCGCCGGGAACGAACCCCGGGGCTGTCAAACACCGGGGGTTCCCCCGGCGGGAGCCGCCGTGCTCCCCCCCCCCGCCCCCGGGCGCGCAACGACTGCCCGCCGTTCGCTTTGCCCTTCTGCCCGAAAGGGTCCGGGCGCGCCGCCGCTGACCGCAGCCCCGGCCTGCGCGGTTTCTCCGGGGTTTGGCCGCAGTTGCCGGTTCCCCGCGGGTACCGAGCGCCCCTCCCCGCCCGGGGCTCCGCCAAGGGCGGCCGGGGG